ATCCCTTTGGAAAGGAAATTTCTGCTTCTCCACAGTTGAAACAAAATAGTAAAACTATCCTGAAGTGTTTTGCTGGTGAGACAAGCTTTCTCTCAGAATCTGCAGATATTGCTCCAGACATGAACTCTTTCATGCAAGTGCATGAAATTGAGTCATATAGAACATCAGAGCCGAGCATAGCCTGTGCTGGTTTACATGACGAAGCTAATAAGGAGATATTTGTTTCTCAAGATTTGGTGAAATCGTCTAGCCTATCTTTAGTTGATCCTCTTTGTTCCGTTGTGCCGTGCAGTATTTCTTCAGAAAATACGAGTCGTACAATAGCTCAAAATCAGACGGATAAGGAAAATGATACTGAAGAATGCTTTAGACCCACACCAAAACATGGGGTGGATAATTCACATAAATCCTCAAATCTAATTATTGAACTCCACCATGAGGATGTGCAAGCTATGCCCACAATTAGCGGGGAATGTTCTCCAGTCAAAGTTCATAGGCAGTTGATTTCACTCAGGACATATAGTACGCTTCTCCCAAACAATGTTTCCATTTTGGATCGGAGAAGCCTTTATCAAAATCAGTCACTTGAACTAGAATGTGATCAGAGGCTGGTTCCCTTAAATAAGAATGCGGGATGCATTAGATCTTTTGATAAAAGGAGTTGTAAAGAGCCCCTTCCTTGTCAGCCTGTATCCTGGGATACTGCTGGAAGAGGTAATGAGGAAAAGGGTGAAACTACCCTAAATAGGAATCCAGCTGCAACAATGAAAAATCAGAAGAGGAATTATCATGAGACTGCAGAGCATGGGTTTCCAGTGCAGGCATCGAAAAAGAGGAGGCAGACTGTTATTTTTAGTCATAGGGCACATCTCGGTCTTCAGGCTCCCAAACCTTTTATGAACAGTTCCACTTGGGAGAAACAAACCAAAATTTCATTGGTACCAGAAAATGTTGCTAAGCTCCAACAAAACAAAGAACTGCACAATATACAATTTGAATGCAAGAATTCCCATGACAGAGATGTTTCATTGAAAAAGAGGGTTCGTTTCTCTGAAGCAGAGATTCCAGTTCAGCAGAACAAGAACCTCCAAAAGCTAGATTCTTCAACGAAAAATTGTAAGCCTTGGCTATTGATTCTCTATCATTCCTTCCAAATTGATGAACATTACAAATTGTTATAATTTATTTTGTTGCTTTAACTTCAAATTTAGGCTCAACTGCTCAAGCAAGTAAAAGGTGGAAGAATTCTAAGTTTCAAAGTCATGAGAAAAGTTGTCTTACAAATTGTCACCATAAGTTTGGGATGAGATTACTATTTCAAGGTATAGAATTCCTTCTTACAGGATTTTCTAGTCAGAAGGAAAGGGACATTGAACACAAAATATGGAAACATGGTGGTATTGTTCTTTCTGATATTCC